TATTACAACTTTTATTTATTATTTATGAATATATTTTATTATTTTATTGTGTTTAATATCTTTGTCATCTCCCAGAAAACTCTGGCTATTGATCATATTTCATGATGATGATGATAATTGTGGAAGCTTTAAGGGAGCCACTAATACTTTGAGAGCACAGTTGTAACCACATTTGGGTCAATGTATTAATGGAGCTAATGTGGCATTCCTATTAATAAATCATTTATGGAAGGACAATAGCACCAAGTAGGAGAATCTTACTCCTGAAGATGATACTATGGGAATAATCTTTTCAATTGCATTTGCATATTCTTGGCTTCAGGTGCCCAACTGGTATAGTGGCAGCATAGCTCTTCTTTTGGGATGGCCACTAAATGCAGGGTTTTTACCCCTCCTACTTTTATTCCTTCTTTCTCTGTCTTGTGTCATCTAACAATCCAGAACATGTGATGCAATGTGATCTTGCTCCAAATTCCCTTCCTTTCCTGAGCTGCATTTGCAGTGATAACATTTTGGAATGTAGCTGGTATGATTAGATGTTACTGAGAGAAAAGAAGTACAAAACACAGGGCTCCTGTTTTTGGCATTGTCCACATATCCAGATCAGACTCTCAGGCATAAATCCACTTTTGAATCATCACTCATTTTTGGAGGCAGATAAAGAGAAATTCTCCAACTGTTTCTCAAGGACAGGACTCCCTGTTAACAGTGACAAAACTGTTTAAAGCCAAGGAAGCAGATCAGTGGGGAGATCATATAATAAAAGACAGGACATTCATATACACCCTTCATTGCTTAACTAAATACATGCAAAAACACTGTGATCCTCATGAGCATTGCATCAAAATACTCAGATCCTTTGAGGGAAATTTCTAAAGCAAATTATGTTTCAGCAAATTAAACAAGAACTGGAAGAAAACAAATGTAAGAGAATTTATCTGCCCAGCTCTAATCTAGTTTGGTACAAGGCTTTTCCCACAACAGTGTATCAGTGCACTCCGTACATCCCTGAGTCAGCAAAAAATTACAGCAGCGTGAAACGTGCTGTCCCCACTGATGATCCTCTCCTGCCTTTATTGCCTTTGTTCCAGTCATTCCCAGTCCCTTTACTTTCCTCCAAGGTAATAGATAACAAAGCCTAATAGATTTCACCCATCTTGATGGTGTTGAAAGAATGGCGAAAAATACTGTTTTAATATTGGCAAGGATGACTTAATCTGCTCACCCTCAGGCTGGGGATGAAACGAAGGCAACATCATCAAAACAATTGAAGACAACTTTATGGGTACATGGCCATAATTACATGAAGACAAGTAAAATCATTTTGTAAACCAGCAACCTTTTTGGAGCAGCTTGCAAAGTTCCTGCAGCAGTAGACAAAATAGGCTATCCTTATGGCACTTTTTTCCCCTCTCCAAAGAACCTCCTTTGCTGTCAAATAGGCAATTTTAGCATAATCAGAAGGGGGTGCAGTACTGGCCTAAAGAAAAACAGTCGGACTGGCTCCTTCTAGCTTCATCAGCCTGTATAGCTTGTCTCCTCACTAGAAATGGAACTTCCCAAGTCTGAGCTCATCCTTGAATGAACCTTGTGAATTAAAAACTGCATGTGCCTCTTTAGTGTCTCAGGTGTGGAAGAGAACCTTCAGGTTTTTGTAAATCAATACTCTGTTTGAAAACATGGGGCCACCCAGACTGAACAACTGTTCGCTCTAGATCACTGAGGGTTTGGTTGTCATGCTGTCTCAATTTATAGCTCAGGTAAAATCCTTGAGGTAAGATCAGGGGGTGATATCCTGCCCAGATGAAATGGGATAACTAGAAATGGACTTCAGATGAGTAGAACTTCACACCTTTTCAGAACTTCACACCTTTTCAGAAGGTGAATTGAACGAAATGGTGAAAAACATCAAGATATAAGTGCAGTTATGCCCTTGCTTTGGCGCATTAGAAACTAGACTAATACAATGTGCCTTCTCCAAATCCAAATTTAAATTTTCCAATGGGAACTTTGTTGATGATATCTGTATACCATTTTTCTTTCATATAAATCTCAAAGCAGCTTAGAATGATTCCAGAGAATGTAGGAATCATTGCAATGAAGGAGAGGGCTTAAAACATTTTTTAAAAATTATTTTAACCTGGCTGGAGAAATGTTATGCATTTGGTTTCCCATGTTTCAAATATTTTGAGACATGGGAAGCCACCATGCTGCAGACCAAGCAACCATCTCCAGCACTACCTCTATTTCCAAGCATGCCTCTGGATTTGTATTATTAAAAAGTACAAATGGTGGCAAGTTGCAGTTCAGGGGTTTGTTTGCAATCGTGGTGACTACCCAGAAAAAGAACTGTAGCAGGAAGTGTCCTGTTGTAAGGAGGCATTTAGCACTCTGGGAAATCAGTGCTTTGTATGGGAATGGCAGCCATTTTGCAAGAGCACCCATAGCTCTAAAAGGGTTTGGGGCATCTGTGCTAAACTGTGCTTAAAACTTAAAGCTAACAGAGTACGGGTGATAGCTTAGAGTAGGAGGAAGAAATGAAAAGAAGTAGAATTGGGCTGATCTGGCTCAGTCTTTCAGCTCCACAGAGGTAGCCAATGTGATTCCATGGCAATGGTTGGGGGTTTCTTGCAGCCTCTTAAAGGTCTTGTGTCTTTAACTGCCATGGATTGATGCCCACTGCATAAGCCCTTGCTTGGCAAATATTAGAGGTGAAAATAATAAACAGCATTGTCCAAAGGCTACAAAATGCCTGTGACATTTCTACAAAAAGCTCCAATACTGAAATAGAAGATAAGTACACATCTGTTCCTGACTGCAGTAATTAGTGATAAGACAGGCCTTCTAGCTTTGACATTATTTTAACATATTTTGATCTTTTATTCCTTTGTGCAGCTTTAATATGTAAGGGTGAAAGGTGGAAGAGGTTTTGAAAAGAGAACACATTCTCTCCATTGAGTTAGCTCTCTGTAATAACATGGGGATAGTCTATAAAAAAAACTACCCACATTTTAAAATGTGTTCTGCTTGTTTTAATCCTATTATTATTATTATTATTATTATTATTATTATTATTGATATTTTCAGTTGTCAGAAGCTGCCTTAAGAGTCATATTTTGGGGTGGGTTGTTAGGATTCACATTTGGAACAATATGTATAATTTTAAACATTTTTTTTAAAGAAAGCACATTTGTAATAGTTTTTTTTACAAATGGTGGGAAGTTTCTTTTCGGGGCTACACACATACATATAATTGATTGTAAAACCAGAGGGCTAAGTTTAAATAACCTACTAATTGACAGAACATTTGCTTCATGTGAAGAAGGTTCTGATTCAATATCTGACATCCCCAGAGAAGAAAGAAAAAGAAGGATCAGATGGAAATTGTATCTCTTGCTCCAAAGAAATTCCCTTCTAGCCCTTACGTAGAACAGGTGGAAGAGAGATTTGCAAGAAATTTGGGTACTGATTGTTATAATTAGATTGTGCATTTGGTACACAAAAGTTACTGGAATTCATAATCGCTTCATAATTTTGCTGCAGTAAACCTACTAATCTGAACTTCTGTGTTATGGTTAATATATTCTATAGCATTTTGCTGTTATAGTTGAGAAAGGCCTGAGAATGCCAACAATATTGGGAAAAATAGATAAAAGATCTGACTTGGCATAAACTGGCTTCCTGTATTCCTTTTTAACTTCAAGAATGTTGGATTCTCTCCTAGGAATCTTTAAATCAATAATAAATAATTTGGAGGAAATTCAGTTATGTTCTAATGTTGGAAAGTACATTACAGTATAAAAAAAATCATGAATGTTTCCCCACTCCTTTCACTTTCATAGGAGCTACAACTCTCTAAACTCATGTATTATTTTGACTTGTTTGCCCCCTACCTCTTCAACTGCTTAATATTTAAAATGTGTGAGTTATGGGTTTATCAGATTATGACTAGTTTGTAGATGCTTAGAGTCTGTTTAACATTATTTGGCCCTAGACATATTCCTTGTATTATAGGAGAATTTTGAAGCAGTGTATAATTATTCACCAATCTGTGATTTCAGGCAGACTGAGAATGAGAGCTGGGGAAAATTTATTCCCTTTTGATGTGAAGTAGGGTTCCCATTTTCAGTATGATTTGGTTGGCTTACAAATCCTACCCAGTCACTTTGCCTCATTCCTGTTGCAAGGCCAAGACTTGAGTGATGGTTTTTTTGTCTTTGCATACATGAGTAGTTTTCACTTGCATTACCCTGGGGTTTTCTGCATATCTAATGTTCTTCAACGAGAAGATCAATAATACTGGGCAAGAAAGAGAAATCACCTAGCACTACTGATCTTCCTCATGTGTATCTGCAAGAAAATTTTGGAAGTATTTCATGGTGACCTGTTGAACTTAAGACAGATCTATGCCTTTGAATAGGAGACCACTTTGAGAATCCTGTGCAATTGCCTTGAGCTTCATCATGGAAGGAAATAGAATATAGGAATGCAATAAATGAATCTATTTTAAATAGGTAATAGACAGAGTGGTTTGCATGAGCTAGCCAAGCACCCAAAACATAGACCAGAAATGTCCATAATGCGCAGCATTTTTAGCAGTAGACATGCAGGAAATCAGTGTTGGCAACAAAAGTAGAAGATCCTTCACCCAATTCTAAATGAGGCAGACCCATTTAAGACAGTCCCTAGTTGTGTGTGCCTTGCTGAGTGTTTCCAAATAACTCTGGTTTAATTCAACAGGTTTGTAAGAAAATTGACCAGACTAGGTAAAAATTTCCACACTTTGGAATGTTAGGATACTGAGAGCTTTAAAAAAACTGTTTCATACATACCAGGTAAGAAGCCCTGATCATTACATATCTGCTCTCAGCCTCAAGTGACTATTTTTTTCCCTGTCCTCCCCATCCCTTCTTTCTCTTCTTTTCTTTCTTTTGCTGTCATTATTTTGCTGACATTCTTGTCATGGTCTTCTTCTTGTCTGAAACTTTCCTTGTTTACAGATACATAACTGAATTTGTGGACCTGGGCAATGTCTCAGCCTTACGAACATTCAGAGTTCTTCGGGCGCTGAAAACAATCTCAGTCATTTCAGGTGAAAAAATCAAAATGGGGTTAAACACTTGGGCTGCACTCACTAAAGCTTATGTGCCATTCCCCATAGCAAAATGGCTGTTGGTAGAACATGGCTTTAACATTGATCGACACTTGATTTGGGAATGGATGAGTGAAGGGAATGGGAACCTGTCAATAGAATGCTTTTTCATATGGCCTTCATCCACTCCCCAGACTTTATTTTGTGGTGAGCATCAAACATTCTTCATAGACCCATAATTTCTGAGTGGAAACACTTTTTTGTGCCTTCAGGTCAGTCTTGAGTCATGGTGACTATACAGACAAGTCCATACAGTTTTCTAGGCAATGTTTTCAGCAATGTTTGCCGTTGCCTTCTTCTTAGGGCTGAGAGAGAAGGACTGACCCAACATCACCCAGATGGCTTTCATGCCTAAGGCAGGACTAGAACTCAGGGTGTCCCAGCTTCTAGTCTGGCATCTTCCCCACAGCACCACACTGGCTCTTGGGCTGACAGGGAGGGTCAGGTCCAGAGTCCCCCAGGGAGTTCTGTGAGTGAGGAGAGATTAGAACCTGGGTCTCCTTCTAGTCTAGTACCTTCCCCACTACATCACAGAGAGAGAGAATGACTGGTCCAAAGTCCATCAGTTGACTTCCATCAGGTTTTCATTCTCCTAGTCCAGCACCTTAACCACTAGCCCAAACTGGCTCTCAGAAATACGAAATACCACTTGCAAAGTTCCCCCATCCCCATTTTAATACAGTTTAGGAGTCAGTCCAATATTTCAAACCTTGCAGTTGTTAGAAAAATAGAATAAAATGTAAAAATAGAGTAAAAATATGACACTCCCACTGAAAAAAGTAATATCATTCAAAAAAATTACCTTGCAGGCTAAATGCTATTTATAGCTGGAAAAAAAAAGCTCTAAATAGTTTGAGAGATGAATCTAGTCTCGTTTTCCCACTTTGATGACTTCCAGATGTATTGGACTGCAACTCCCATCATCACTTGAGAAGATGGGAATTGAAGTGCAACATGGTTGGAGGGCTGGATTCATCCTTTCTCAATAACATTTAGCCAGGCAATTTAGATTCCAATCAGTTGAACCTGGGCACAATCCACTAGTGCTTTTTTCCTCAGAAGCCCCATTGAGACAAATACAATAATAGTGTGGTTTTCTTATGAAACTTCTTTTAATTTTCAATGGTGCTAGCTCCTGCCCTTTGACATCCTCTCACCTTGCCTCATTTTAGTAAAAAATGAAGGCAATCCCTATTTTCCTTGTCCCTTCTTATGACACTTAGTTATGGATGCTTTCATCTTTCTCTCTCCCCCTTTCCCCCTTCCCCCCTTTAAATTGGCAGTGGAATGTTCTCTAAAAGTGGATCGATGGGGAGAAATAAATATGCCTGTGGCGTATCTATGGACAGGTCTCCTTCAGCCTTAGTGTTTAACATCTTTGACCTGCATGGCAAGGTAGAGAAAATGGCAAAACAACCAACCCCGTGCATGACAGATTCTGTGTAGATGATTATCCTGAACAGATGTTGGCAATTATAGGTCAAAAATAGTCTAAAGAGACTGTTTATTTTATTTTATTTTATTTTATTTTATTTTAGAAAGACAGAGAGGACTGAGAGACAAGGGGTGGCAGAATCAACATCCATTTAGGACCTGGGGAAAAAAATTCACTCCATTAGGTGGCAAATAGTCACACTGCGACATTCTCCACTGAAACTAAAACAACGACACTTGTTATTGGGCACCTGTGGAGCATTTAAGGGATGAATACCATGGCTACCACAACTATATTTTCCAGAAGGCTCCATTCTTGGAGTATGGTTATTCTTGAAAATCCATGGGAGGAAAATGCAATTGATTTTAATGGAACTGGATTTCCTTCTTCTCATCCACCCTGATCCTGAACAGAAGTGTACACAAACTAATTGCAAGTTGTAGACAATAAAATACTTTTGGCTTTCCTCAAAAGTCTTTGCCTAAACATGCAGAAGAAGAAGGTAGTTCAGCTGTCAGACTGTACAAGAGACTGTGTACCCACATGTTTATATATAGAAAGGTAAAGACTTCCTCAAGTGATGCTCAGGTCCTGGCAACCACATGCCCTGCCCGTGTAGATTTCTTAGCAGCAGTAACAGTGGTTTGCTGTTGCCTTCTGGGATGTTTTTATTCAAATTCCCAATCTAGGCTACAGTCCTGGGATTTCCTGTTAGTCTTTCACCAAAGTACTAAATGGGTCCAGCCCCGCTTAGTCTTTTCCAAGAGCAAAGTAGGATAATAGAAGAGAATGTGTGTAGCTCAGGGTTGTACTGTGGAATCCTTGAGAACCCCAAAGTAGGATAAAGTCTACCACACTTTGCTAGTACCAGTGAGCTCATCAAGCCGTGCTCATTTCCTTGATGAGATCCAAGTTTGTTTGTACATTTTTTTAAACTGGGTGAACTCTTTTCAAGGAGTGTGCCCTCTTGCTGTTTGCTGTCTTACAGTCTATCTTAGCAGCTCAGATTTTTTACTTAGAGGAGAGATCACCATATTCATTTGGGAATTCACTCTCAAGGAAAATCTAACAGTGGCTTAGGGCTTTGTGAAACATGGGGCTGACCTACCCACACATAGTTGGTATGATACTGTAGATGTATTTCAGTGTTGGTAGTCATAATGTAGCTTGTTGGCTTTCCCCAAATATATCCTTGGAGGTTGGAACTCTAGATTTTCACTTCACATTCACTTTCACTTGAGGTTACGTTTTAGGGATGTTCCTCAATCAAAGCATTATTAGACTTCCATTAACTGGATGGGGATCCAATATGTGAAGTTCTCATTTTGGATTTGTGAAAGAAGGCTGTGCTCTCTAACCTGGTATCTGTAAGATTGTTACCATTGACTAGTCAAGGCATTCCCACATGAGGTGTTTGTATAATTTCCAGTTCTATTACATAACATTTTGTATCTTTGGCTACTAAGCTGTCTTTTAACTCAGTGGCATCCTAGCTGGCAAGGCCTGTATACACACTGGATTAGTCTGTTGAAAAATCAGAATCTTCCTGTTAGTTAACAAGAACTTGACAACACCACAGCACTAGTTGAAGTTCTACTGCCAAACTCAAGTTACAAAATGTATTGTGAAATAGTGGAAAATTTAAATTAAGCAACTTCAAGGATATCTCTCCCCCATGTTCTGTTGGAATTATGTATCTGTTAATTCCTCCTGTACAAAATATTTATTTATTTATTTATTTATTTATTTATTTATTTATTAGAGTTATATCCCACCTTTCCTACAGGAGCTCAAGGCAATGTATATGCCCCATATGCCCCTTCTTCTTCCACATTTCCCCACAACCACCACTCTGTCAGATGGATGGGGATGAGACAGAGTGACTGGCCTGCTTGAGCTGTTATATGTTCTCTAGCCTGTTTGTGACCACGTCTTTGCTGATGGCCCAGTTTGCTATTGCCTGTGTGTCTTAATCTGAGAAAGCACTGCGGCCCACTGCAAAGCTAGGCTCTGGGTGAGACATAGTCTTTCAGATGGCTTAAGGCAGATGTCTCCCTTCAAATGAAGCTGAAACTCCCACAAAATCCTGAAGGAGAATGAATACTTTACCATCCTAATAGTACATCCAAGTAATTATGCATCCCCTCCAAGTTTTCTTTCTGTAATCACAGAATTCCTTCTTTTGTGGAATATCCCAGGATAAAATAATAAAATAGGTTTAGGTTGTATTAGAATGCATATTTCTACATCAACTGGATTATCTCCATGGGATTAAATAGGACGGAATCCTAACTAAACTTTTATATGCAATGATAAATTTAATGGAATAGTGTACTTGTCACTGTTAATTGAATATGAAGGTCTATTAATGGTGTGGGTGGTATATTCAACCCCTCACCTTTTATTCCAGAGATATCTCTAAGGTATATCATTAATTTTGGTAAAAACTCTTTTATTTACTTCCTTACATCTAGAATTATTCAGGTGGGTGAGTTTTGGTTAATGAGAGCTTTGAAAATCAATACATTTTTTTAATCTAAAAGAATTTGTTGGCTGCTGTTATTTTGGCAGAAAGCTCAGATAATCCCTGTTGGTCATAATACCCTATTCCCACATCACAGTTAACTGGGTCAATGGAGGGTTAGTATATTTTGGGAACATCAAAAAAGGATCAGTTGACCTAGTCAGATAGCCCACAAAGGATTAGATTTATCCCCAGAGTTAAATTAACTCCTCCAGACCAAAACTCTGCCCACGTTATACAAACTCCTTCCTGCAAAATTAACTGTTCCAAAGACTGTGACCAATTTCTACAGAGACCAAACAAAAGTGAGAGTGATTTACACAATCTGTCTCTATAGTTATTTCTGTTTCTCGGTTGGAATGGTAGAAAAGGGACAGAAATGGGTAGGAAGTAGCTATAGTCCCTCAACCTGTCCACAATGACACTAACCTGATTGTGCCACCATTGATTTTAATATTGGAGTTGTTTCAGAGTATGTTGGCACCTACATCTAATAAAATAAATGAAAGAATATTTTTTCCATATCAAGGAAAAATAAAAGGGAATTAATGAGGGGCAGGGGAGTGAAGTCCAGCCAGCCTCCTTCAAGGCAGCTGGGGGGATATAAAAGATGCAGTTTAGTGAGAAAATATGCTGCTGGGTATGGGATTGACTGGGTGAGATGATGAGGCCAGAATATGTCTTCATCAAAGTAATGGGAGAGCCAGCATGCACACACGCACACATATGTGCACACACATTAAAATTCTCACAATATGCTCAATCAGATCACCTGAAGACCTAATCATTGCATCCAAGCAACATCCAAAGTTTGCTTAATTTTAACTTTGGTTTATTTTTCTGTGGCTTAGTGCATTGTACCTATCCAAGCCATTTGGTTAATTTATGGTTCAGTGGCTTGTGTGAACCAGAAAATGAGTTAATTCAGCAACCAAGTTAAGGTGTTTTCTGGTGCATCCAGCCAGAAAGAAGCTGTTTCCA